CTTTAAGCTGTGGGTCCCGTGTCGTAGATTTATGGCACGTAAAAGATCCTCATGTCTCTAGGAGACCTCTGAGCAAAATTAGGCAACAATTTCCCGCCCAAGTAGTTTCCAATGTCTCTGGTAGATGGGGGAAATATCAGGTACCGACGGCCGACCTCGTTTGCTGAATGGGGCTGATAGCACACACTAGTACTGGTAGGGTATGGCAACAGTAGAAATTAAAGGGGGACGCACAATGGACCAATAACTGGTCTAAGTGCATGGGTTAAACCCACCCCTCTAATAATAATAAATAATAATAATTATAGGTCCACTTCATTTTACAATAATTTCTGCTTTCATCCTCTGACATGCTTGTCTCACACAAACTTTGTTTGTATTCTTGAGATGGTGGAGTATTCATATTAATATTTTTGTGGTTTATTTTACGATGCTGTCAGTATTTAGACTATACAGCACTGAATGGTAAGATGACTGATAAACTGTAAAGGATTTTAATGGAGGTAGTCGTGGCCTAATAAAGGCATTATCTTGCCATTTGCTTCAAGGGACTGAGAAAAAACACACAAAAAAAATTGTTCAGTCAAGACTGCAGCTTATATTTAAACTGAGCACTTCTGAAACACAAGTCTAGAGTGTTACTGTTACACTGGCCTGCTCAATGCAGTGACAGCACTTTACATTAATAGTAAAGAACAAATAAACAGCTGTAAAAGTACTGCAACACTGTGCATTATGTAACAGAATTGCAATGATCACCATGGAAACTGTTAACAGATCAAAACCAGACAGGGACTGAGGGCTTGCCTGGGTCTCAACCACAGATCTAGCTTGGACCAGTGCTGGAAACTCTGCTGTCCCTGGTGCATATAATAGAGGGTAGTTGGAGAGTCCTCACTGTAGATGCTCTGGTCAAGGAAGCTTTCTCCGTTTTCTTGGGCTTTGATGCTGGGTCTTCTACTCTTCTGCTGTTGTGGGGAAGCAATCTATCTCAGGGGTTCTTGTATAGGGTTCACTGAGAGTAAGAGTGTAAAAGATCTACTGATAGAGTTGAGTATCCTGAAGACAAAGAAGAAAAATTGGACAGGCTAGTGAAGAAACAGACCAGGATGCTGAGATCTGAGCATATGATTACAAGTACAGCTGGGACTAGCACAACTCTGCTATCCCTGTTGCTAAACAACAGTGGGTGACCAGAGACAACCCTCTGTCAGTAATAAAAGAGAAGCAGATTCTCCTCCCTCATCAAGGGGTTCAGTTGTTGTGTCATCTGCTGCTGTGGAGAAGACAAAATCTCTCAGAGGCTCTCACGTGGAGTCCATGAGGGTAAGGTTGTAAGAGGTCTCTTGATTGGGATGAGTAGCCTCAACATCAAGAAGAAGAAATAACGTGGACAGCAGAAGCTTGCCTAGAAATAGGAGAGCTCTTCTCAAGGAAACCGAGGGCTTGGCTAGAGCTTGGTTGTGGGTCAGTTGAGATTGGTGCTAGAGGCTCAGCTGTTATTGTCAGTGAATGACAGTGGTTGGCTGGGATACCCTGCTATCAGCAGTCCACAAGATATGGATATCATATCAATGCCTGCCTAGGTTGGACAGAGATTATAGAGGTCTTGAGTTTGCATGGAGAGCTTCTGGGGTGCAAAATAGACCCATCAGTGATCTGAGTGCTTAGGGTAACTACAAAGGTTGTTCTCTCCAAGTAAATTCAATTTAGCTTCTCTTATTCGATAACAACTACATACAAATTTTCACAACAGAGATGGTACCAACAGTTACTGTAACATGGAAAGTAAGACATCTGTACTATACAAACCATGACATACACATAAAGACGCCAATTATAAGAGAGGGCAACCACTCCCATTATGTGATTATTATGTGTTATTTCTTGTCCCTGTTACTGAAGAAGAGGTTCTAAAGGTCACCAGTAAACTAAAAACAAAAATCTCAGCGGGTTTTGATGAGATCCCGGATATGATAGTTAAACAATGTATCCAATTCATAAAAAAGCCTTTGACTTTTATATTTAATCTGTCACTAAGCTCTGGTATCTTTCCTGATCAAATGAAGATTGCAAAAGTTCGACCCATTTTTAAAAAAGGTCAGAAACAAAATATTACCAATTATAGACCAATTTCAATTTTGTCTGTATTTTCCAAAATCCTTGAAACACTAATGTATAATAGAGTTGTAAACTTTTTAAATAAATTCAAATTGATATCGAATGCTCAAAATGGTTTCAGAAAGAATAAATCCACATTTACTGCAATTCAAACTTTTATTGGACAAATTCAAAAAACCCTAGATAATAAACAATTTGCTTTTGGTATATTTTTGGATCTGTCGAAAGCTTTTGACGTTATTAATCATAACTTGCTGCTTGCAAAGCTGGAGTTGTATGGACTGAGAGGAATAGCTCACGCGTGGATGAGATCGTATCTCACCGACAGAACCCAGTTTGTTGAAATTCACCATATGGATCAAAAGACCTTTAAGATAAAGACACTTACCTCATCTCTTAAGGCTATTAAACATGGTGTACCTCAGGGTTCTGTTTTAGGACCCCTTTTATTTTTATTATTCATAAATGATCTGCCCCGAATCATACAAAATGCAGAGGTAGTATTATTTGCGGATGATACTAATATATTAATTACTGGAAATGACATGTTATCATTAAATGAAAAAATTCAAAATGTAAAGAATCAATTAGAAAAATGGTTTTATGAAAATCATTTAATAATAAACACTGAAAAGTCTAAGGTAATTTTTTTTCGGGGAAGTAGATCTACTCCAATTATTAGATCCATTTTTTCTTTAAATAATAAGGAGGTAGTTTGTTCATCAGATGTAAAATTTCTGGGTATTTGTATTACTGAGGATTTAAGTTGGGCAACCCACACCCAATATGTTTGTAAAAAACTTAGCAAGACTCTTTATTTGATTAAATCTTTACGGGACTCTGTGAGCCAATCTGTATTAAGAAATGTGTATCTTGCAAAGTTTGAGTCCGTGTTGAAATACGGTATTATTTTTTGGGGTGGGGTGAAAAAGGACTCTGAAACTCTATTTAAACTACAGAAAAAATGTTTAAGGGTGGTTAAAGGTGTAAGAAATAGAGTCTCCTGTAGAAATTTGTTTCGAGAATTTAAGATTCTAACAGTTACTTCCTTATATATATTTGAGATTTTATGTTTTATAATAAAAAATAGGATATATACTACCCAGTATTCTGACGTACATGGCTATAATACTATTCATAAACACAATCTGTATGTTCAATTTTGCAATACTGAGCGCTGCAAAAGAGGGGTGATTGGTATGGGAACCAAAATATTTAATGGCCTACCGACTGAACTAAAAAGTGTAAATAATTTTAATGTTTTTAAAAAGAAGCTAAAAAATTATTTGTTGTGTAACGTCTTTTATTCTCTTCAGGAATTTTTTAACAACTGTTGATATGGACTGCTTGCTGACAAATAAATCTGTTTTAGATAAATTATTTATATGTACAGGAATATGTTTTAAATAGTCTGTTTGTATGTTGTAAACAATCTGTATATATGTTTTAAATATTTTCTCTAGTCTTAGGTATTTATTATTTATTATTCTATATTCATGTACTTTGAATGTTATGCTTGATGTAATGTTGTTGTTATCTGACATGTCCAATTGTAATTTCTACAGCTATGGATGAAATAAATGAATTGAATTGAATTGAAAAGCTGAAGTTCAAGGTCAGATATACTGTTACTGAAAGGAAATTCAAAGCTCAACAGCATACCAATGATCTGCTAATGGTTGTGAGGACAGATAAAATCACCATAACTGAGGATGGGTCTGCTACAGGTATTAGCAGAAAGAAATACTCTGATTAATCACAATTGCATCTACAATGTTAATAAACATTAAATGACAAAAACTGTGTAGGACTCCACCATCAGAACATTAAATGATAAAACAGAATGTTGAATGGAAAATAACTGTTACAGCATGATAATGGTTGAGATGACTTCAACCAAATACTCATACTTCATGTACAAGAACTTCAATATCTCACTGGTGCAGAATTATTTACTGCAACGAAATGTTTAAAAAAGCAGTAGCTAGTATGTTCCACCAGCTGCACATGGTATACAGATTTTTAAATGATTATGTATTTTGCACTTGTATACTATGGGTGTTGCAAAAGATTAAGCTATACAGACATACATATTAAAGCAAATGAAGAATTCAGCACAGACAATGAACCTGGAAATAAAAGCACAGCACACCATGACAGAATTTGACAACTACAAAATCGAACTATATTCTAAATGAAGAGGAAGACGGTGAAAGCTAAAACTTAACTCTATTATCATGCAAATGTGATTATATTAACTCACTGTCTAATCTACCTTCAACAGTACATGAAATGCCCACAGACAGAGAAATTGTGGCTGTAAAAGAAAGAGGAACCTCAAGCAGATTCAACAAACATCTAACTATACAAAACAAAAAAGTGGACATAAAATAAACAAGAGCTAAAACTAACTGTACAAACACTTCATTGGACAAAACAAAATGTGTACAAAAGATTCCCAGCCACAAAGTCTGAGAACCACAATATTTTTACTTTATTCAGCACCATTACAAAGACTTCATTTAATTTGCATGTGTCATATAAAAGCTCTGTACATTAATCAAGAAGAGAAATCATTTCATAATCCTGCAACAAAGCAAGGTATAGGATAATGAAAATATGTTCCTACAGAACAGTTTCCCAGTTCCTACTGTTTACTGAGGCTGTAGCCCTAAAAAAGTTAAAAAATGTGCTGCAGCTGTTATAAGACGCCAACACAACTATTCTTGCTGACCATCACACTGCACATATTATTCATCTACTGGCTATAAGAAAGTACAGGGCTACTATAAATGATTCATTCGTTTTTAAAACGCTATATTTTCCAAAGCATTATACATACAAATATGACTGATATATAAAAAGAACCGTAAACTCACCAAGTTTTCTTCACACTCTACAAATGTTCTATGTGTGCCCCTTAGGTCACACGACACACGTCCAGTCGAGCTCGTTTCACATATTTTGTAGCATCATCCTGTCAAAGGTCATCACTGCAGCATCCATGCGTTCCCTCAGCTCTACTAGTGGCGGTACGTAAACACGATCCTTAATGTACCCCCAAAGTAAGAAGTCACAAAGCGTTAGATCAGGTGATCTGGGGGTGCCAAGTGAACCGAGCTACGTCATCCTCACCAGCACGCCCAATCCAACGATGCCGAAGTTCATTGTTTAGGTAGCGACGAACATTGATGTTCCAATACAAACTTTGTGAGTTTACGGTTCTTTTTATATATCAATCATATTTGTATCTGTAATACTTTGGAAAATATAGCGTTTTAAAAACGAATGAATCATTTATAGTAGCCCTATATTACAAAGCAATCCTCTGGTCAACAGTATAGGCATTGGGGTTTAAAAAGGGGAAAAATGTAAACTTGATTTCAGAATGTTAAATGCCATGGACATTTTATGTGGACTTGTTTGTTACTAAAACACAAGACATACGAGAATAAAGCAATTATTTCAGTTCTTTACTGCAAATTTATAAACGTTACGAAAAAATATAAACCTGGTTACGGGTACATATCCTTACGACCACATATTGAAAATAATACACAATTAGTACGCTTTGTAATATGATTACTTGGGAATATTATATGTGGGATCTGGAAACGAAAACAAAACTGTACACATATTTTCCACTAACTTACTTAGAGAACGTACACGCTCTTCAACATGAACACACCAACCAACACCAAAAACACCTGCAACTCGCAAGGAATACCAACCATACCAACGGTATAAAGACACACTTTGCCGCACTTCGCCAGCTATGCTACCTACCAACGCACAGGTCTAATGTGTCAGACATCGTCAGAGATTGCTGTATATGTAGTGAAAGTTTACTACGTATGGATAAGCTAATCGCTGATTACTATATACATATATATATATATACACATAAGGTAAATAGTTAAAGTTGTCCCTGTCTTTAACTGATTAAGCACTGTGTCATGAAGACGCATGGGGGAGTGGATGTATAGATCCACGTTTTCTTTTCCTCACCACTAGCAGGAGCCGAGTGGTCAGATTCACTCCCGGTCCGCTTTAAAGCTGGTACCCACTGGATAGGAGGTTGGTTGGACCCCAGAGCCGGTATAGACCGGTCTGGATGATGTGGAGAAGAGAAAATTCTTGACCATACCAAGACTTGAACTTCAGCCCCTCAGTCATCCAGCCCATAGCCAGTCATTATACTGACTACTCTATTCCACCTCCTGTATCATTTAATAACCCATACAGAAATAAGATTGGGTATACTTGTACTCCTCACACTACAGACACCAAGAATGTTTAAAATTCTGGACCACAGTGCAATGCTACTGATAATTGGAGCTGGTGGTGTGTCTAGTGTTCCAGTCCATATTAATGTCTCACGATTTCCTTCCTGCATACTGGCATGTAGCATGAAGGCTTTGCACCTACTCTTTCATCTACATGTACACCCATTCTGGCATGCAGTGGTATAAACAACAGACCACTCCATATACACATAAATGTAAACAGAGAGTTTAATCACTAAAATTATGTGAGCAGCTGTAACTTATCACCAGGTAAATTAAGAATCTACATTTACTTAACATCCCTAGGATGCTGTCTAGCTCTGTAATTACTGATCAAACTAGCCATTATCCTGGTATGTTCACATTCACCTTTAATCGGGTTTTCAACAAAAATTATAATTCAACATTTTATGAGGGAACAATCTCATTTCTTTACTCAACAAATTGTATGATGAAGTCTTTAGGCACAAATTTCTGGACATACATGGTAAGCGTATGATTTAGTGTTAGTAAATATTATAACCTGCCACAATCTGCAGCTAGTCACAGTCTTTGTAACCAGCAAATAACACACTGCATTTCATCAGAGTAGCACTGCCATATCAGTATGGTTGTATAAGGACTTCCCAAGCAAATGGATGGCTACATGATAGCAGTAGCACTGTGGCTGTGACTGTTCTACATAATAGTGGCGAATTTATTTGCTGCAGATTCAAGTATTACAGGCCAGTTTCTGATGCAAAAAGACTGCTGCTTTTATGGTGAAAATGGAAATACAAAATTCACTGCATACAACTGTGCTAATGTAATATTGTGCCAGAGTTCAATGTTTTACAACTATGTTCAGAGTAAGCTAAGCAAGCAACAAGCATGTGTCACTCTAATTTGTACAATATGATTAAATTTGTATTAACATTATTGGAAATAATCGCTGGCTTCCCACCACTGCGATCTGGGCAAGTGCGATTTGTGATGGACAAAGTGGCGCTGGGGCAGGTTTCCTCCGAGTACTTCGGTTTCCCCTGCCAATTTCATTCCATCAGATTCTCCACAAATAAAAATATCTAACTAATTCTAAATTGTAATCAACTGTAAACAATTGTAACTATTGTAATTTTAATCTTACTCATATATTAAATTGTTAATATTCAGAATTAACTTGACTTGTCCTGTATCATGTACAATGATCTACAGTGACGAAATAAATCAGTCAATCAATCAATATCTGTTCTTGACCTGGACTATGGTTGCTTTACCAGTCAATATCACAAATGCACAAATTAAGAAATTAAATTTTACTCATATAATTAACCTTTAACGTCCGAAGTGCCCCGAGTGGGCCAGTCATCGTGGCCAAAGTACCCTGTTTTGGCCAGTCGGGCATTTAAACTCTGCTAGTGGTAGTGCGAGCACATGCGTCTAGTAGAAGCACATGCACAGTCCTAAATATTTATTTTTAAATGTAGTAATTACCAGGAAGATTGAGTAAAACCCTAATAGAGGAATTAAAATGATATCTACGTGAATAACAAAAATAGTATATGTATGAGTTATGTCCAAACTCATCCAAAAGCCAGTATTTTTATTGCAGATTCTGCAGATTAATGTGTTAAAAATATATAGTAAAATCTGATGTACATGCCTTTTTTGATATCTGCTTGATGTATATACAGGCTTAAATGAAACTACAGTATTCGACTTCACTACGAACACACAGAAAACAGATCACACTCTGTATCTCAGCCATGATGCAACTGTCTGTTCATGCCCATAGAAAGGGCAATAATCTTTTGCAGCTATAACAGAAAGTCTTAGCACTGAAGAAGGGACCCCTCTAGCTATTTCTTGAATAGCCATGCTTTCATTCTCCTGTCCTTTAGTCAAAAGATTTGAAAATCTGAAGGGTGTAACAAAGATGTAAGGTTTTCCAGCAGAGAACCAAATGATTTCATTGCTTCCAACTGTTTCATGGCACCAGGGACTGCTAAAATTTGTCAAGTGTTACAAACAGAAACGAATTTATAATGCAGAATAACTGTGTGAAGAACCGGAAAACCAATTTTGCAGTAGGCATTAAAATAAAGGAAAAAAATTGAAAATAAAGTATAACTCTTTGTATAACATTTTTTAAATCTTCCGTTGTAATAGGCGACACTATGTTCTCTGCTGATACAAACAAAGTTAATTCCATCAATTTATCATAAAAATTGTGTTAGATACATCGTTTTTAAACACAATGCTTAAAATTGTTTAAGTGCCCTAACAGGAACAGACATTTAAACGCAGAGCAGCAACATGCATTTAAATGCACACCAGCAGCGGGCATTTAAATAAACTCCGGCCAGCTCAATCTTACCACCATTTCAAAAGCCCAACATTTAAAGGTTAAAACAGGTTAGGAATGAAGAATTATAAAATATAAATCAACAAAAACTATATTGTGTATTATATAAATTAAGAAAACTCTGATAATAAAATCTGTAGACATGCTAATCACCAATCTCCATATACAAGTCAATATGCCTAGCCTTTAATGGTCCATAATGTTGATGTACAACATCTTTGAGAGTGTGTCATACATTGAGAAGGCAACCTTATGAATGAACAATCCCATGTATGCAGTATGGCAAGTTTGCTTCATAACATGCTGAAAAAAGAATCTATTAACTTTCTAATGCTGAGGAAATCACATTATTGTACGATGAAGGTGCACCCCCAAAGATGATTTAGAGGCAACATAACCATGAACTTGGATAATAAATACAGATTTAATACAGCCACATATTGCCCTGCATTCAATAAAAGAAATGGTATAAACTATGTACAGTATACATATATTAACTACATTAAGCACTGCTTCCAGCTTGGAAGTTTGCATGACCATTATACTGACACTTTCAATTGTAGGGAATGTTCCTCTTGTGGCTCCAGATATGTACATTACCACGGTAACTTGAACTGGAGTATGACCAAGGAAAAGCTGCACATATCTGAGCTGGTAAAAGCCGCCTCCCTTCTTGCATCATGAAGACCAAAATACCAGCCTTAGCAGATCTGCCTTATTGCTAGTTACTGACAAATACCTTGATGTCTGTATGCTCACTTGTACTTTTACAATACATAATTCTCTTCATAGATTTCACATTCTTTATTGTCTATTATTAGAATTTTAATTATATTATATAAATTCCTATCTTGTGAACACGGTAATGAACCTTCGGGTTCCATAAAATGCTGGGAAATTCTTGAGTAGCTGCAGAATTGGCAGCTCCTCCAGAAGGGCTCAGCTCCACGAGTAAGTAAATATATAAATTTCCTAAGTTCCTAGAGAGGCATAAATATTGAGTGGGTCCTCATATCTTCCTTACCCTTAAGGTCTGCCATCAATGCATTTATATAAGTGACATATTTCTTCTTCCTTCAATCTGCTGCCCAAGGGCCTCCTGCTGACAGTGAAGGTGATGCACATATTGCTGCCTGCTAAATTGTCTCACAAAAAAAAACTCCTGTGGCCTGTAGGACCGAGTGAAGTTAGCGCCAACTTTTGCGGATTGAGGGTGTCATGTGATTAGTGCAGTGGATCCCCACAGCCGTTAATCTCGGTTTTCTAGACCAGAGACACTATTTACTTGAAATAGCTCACCATACGCTTAGTATTTTGAAATTTGTTTCTGTTCAATTTCAAATTTTATACAATAAAACCTGTATATTTTATGCACAAGACTGTGAATTTTTTTCTTAGCTGAAAAAAAAAATTGTCATCGGCAAAGTGCTCTTTACACAAAATGTATGAATGTTGCCTTGCATATAATCTGCATCAGTGATCCACTAAGATGAACTAAGTATTGACATTATATTCCTATTGGATGAGCCGCCACTGATGGATTAAGGTGTGTATCTTTAAATACTTTGGCTTCCTAAATGACTTCTTGCAAATACCGCATTCATTAGGGCCTATCTTTGAATGACTCAAGGAATGTGACTTAAGAGTTGACTTACATCGAAATGTTTTATTACACACATCACATTTGTATGGTCGTTCACCTGTGTGAATGAGAATGTGTGACTTCAGCGATACTAAACATCTAAACCTTTTGTCACATATTATGCACTCATGGATCTCTTCACCCATATGAACAAGAACATGTTTCTTGAGATCACGAAGATCTTTAAAACTTTCATTACAAAGCATGCAGTTGTAAGATTTATTTTCTGTGTGACTAACAGAATGTTTCTTGAGACTACTTTGAAGCTGGAAACCTTTACCACACACTCTGCATTTAAATTTTCTTTCATCTGAATGGAGATGAGCATGCGCCCTGAAAGTTCTTCTGTACCTAAAAGTTTTGTTGCATATCTTGCACTGGTATGGTCTTTCACCAGTATGGATACGCACATGTTCCTTAAGGGCACTTAAACGTCTGAAGTTTTTACTGCAAATCTTACATTCATAAGGATGCTCACCTGTATGTACACGGATATGTGTCTTAAGGGAACTAAAGGTTGTATATGTTTTACCGCAAAGTTCACATTCTGGAGTCTGGTTCTTTGTATGCGTACCAATGTGTGACTTAAGAGCAGTTAGAGATGCAAATGTATTATTGCAGATCTTACATTCATAAGGTCGATTTTTTAAATGGGTTAGAGCATGAATTTTGAGACATCTGAAAGTTTTATGGCATATTTGGCATTTTTTAGATTTTGTGCTATGGGTAAGATAATGTTTCTTGAGATTAAAATGTAATCGAAAGGTTTTTCCACATACATTGCATTTATGATGATGTTCGCCTGTATGGATATGCACATGTTCCTTAAGGAGGTTTGAACATCTGAAGTTTTTACTGCAAATCTTACATTCATAAGGATGCTCACCTGTATGTACACGGATATGTTTCTTAAGGGAACTCAAGGTTGTAAATGTTTTACCGCAAAGTTCACATTCTGGAGTCTGATCCTTTGTATGTGTACCAATGTGTGCCTTAAGAGCACTTAAAGATGCAAATGTATTATTGCAGATCTTGCATTCATAGGGTCGATTTTTTAAATGTGTTAGAGCATGTATTTTGAGACATTTGAAAGTTTTATGGCATACTTGGCATTTTTTAGATTTTGTGTTATGGGTAAGATAATGTTTCTTGAGACTAAAGTGTAATCGAAAGGTTTTTCCACATACATTGCATTTATGACGAAGTTCGCCTGTATGGATACGGACATGTGCATTAAGCCTTATACGTTTCATAAATGTTTTACCACACATTTTGCACTCGTGTGACTGTTTGCCTGCCTCTTCGTTTTTATGAATGACAGAATGTTGTTTGAGATGATGAGAGTGTTTGAACTTCCTACCACAAACTTCACACTTAAAAGACAGTTCTGCCACATGAGACAGGGAATGTTTCTGCAAGTCACGAAGCAGTTTAAACCTATGAGGACACAACCTGCATTCATGCAAATATTCCTCTGCATGGAAAACAGTATGTGACTTCAGACTACTAAATCTTTTAAACGTTTTCCCACACATCTCACATTTATGAAGTGTCTTCTCACAGCATTCAATCCTATCTGGTTGTAAGACATAATGATCACTGGATGTATCACACTGCTCTGTTGATGATGATATAACATCACCAGCAGGTTCACTAAAACTGAAAAAAAAAAAAAAAATCATACATGTCATATTATTCGATAAATTATGTACTGAATATAACTGTTAACCTCAGTTACTGTCAAGAGGAGACTGAATTCAGATAATGCTTGCCATCATTCAGTCCAGAATCTTCTATCTTCTCATCTGCTGTCTAAAAATTTTGCCTGTGGTTTTGTACAGGTGTGAAACTTGGCCTCTGATATTACGGGAGATACATAGACTGAGGGTGTTTGAGAACACGATGCTGAGAAAAATATTTGGACTAAAAAGAGATGAAGTGATAGTAGGATGGAGAAAACTGTAATGAGGAGCTTCATAACTTGTACTCTTCAGCAAGTATAATTAGAATGATCAAGTCAGGGAGGATGAGATTGACAAGGATAGTAGCATGGATGGGGAGAAGAGAATGCATATAGGATTTTGGTGGGAAAGCCAGAAGGAAAGAGACCTAGATGCAGGTGGGAGGATAATATTAAAATGGATCTTAGCGAGATAGGATGGTGTGGTATGAACTGGATTTATCTGGCTCAGGTTAGAGACCGGTGGAGGGCACTTGTGAACTTGGTAATGAACCTTTGGGTTCAATAATATATAGGGGAATTCTTCAGTTGCCAAGCAACTGGTGGATTCTCAAGAAGGGCTTGTCTCCATGGAATTAATTTTTTAACCTCTTGCCCTGGAATAATGAGTCTGATTTATGAGGCAAGGTGGCACTCCCATTCTGGGTAACATGTAGGTAGGCTTGTGATAATTTTCAAATAATACAGCCTTTATTAATTAAATAATTTTCCTGAGGAGTAAAGCGCGGCCAGCGCTTAAGACTGACAACCTTACCGCCATCTTTGAGCCGATTGTCTCGATAATGTGGGACCCTCAATGTCTCACAACCCTATGGGCTTTCGTGGCCTGTTACAGGGATAGCTTTACTTACTTTACACTTCAAGTAATCATCAACAGAGAAACTAGAAAGTTAATTCCTGAACTTACAGGTAACAGCCTTTTGGACACTGCTTATAGCTCAGCCAGTCCATAATGGAACGTCAGGCTCACTGTGTGTACAAAGTTTCCAGACCTGCAAATTCCTGTTTGTACTGAAGAAGATTACAATTGTGACACAGAGCTGTATGCATAGTGTATATTCCAAGTGACCTCTTTCTTTAAGGTTTTCCTATAGAACTTCATACACATTTCACTTCGTTCACACGGGTACTCAATTCCACAGTCATGAGCTGATGACCCTGTCAAGGCATACAGATTATGAAGCTCCTTATTATATATTTTTCTCTTGCCTCCTCTCACTTCTTCCCTCTTAGGTCCAAACACCCTCTTCAACCCTCTGTTCTCAAACACCCTCAGTCTACATTAATGTGAAGGACCAATTTTCAAACCCATATAAAACAATAGTCCAAGTTATAGCTATGTATATTTTAATCTTTACGTTTTTAGACAGCAAATAGAATGACAGAAAACTCCGATCTGAATGACAACAAGCATTCCCTAAATTTGATCGGCTCTTAATTCCTCTGTGAATGCAGTTATTTGCAAATAAATAAATAAAAACTTAAAATGCTCTGACATCTGTATGGGTATATGAATCAGTATGGTAATGCCGGACATTTACTTACTAATTCATACTGTAACATGACACCTGAAAGGCAGAACAGTGGAGCCAGAAGAGATAACCGTTGTTAGTCAATGGCTGAGTAAACACATATCATGGTATTGCATATGCAAGCAACAATAAAGGAACTGTTCAAAACGGTGTTTTGTATGTGGTCTATGCTGAGGCTATATAGCAAGGGCAGTCTCGACAAAAAAAAAATCTCTGGTTGTGGGCCTCAAGGGGCCTGATGCCAAGACGAACTGATTTGCGGTAAACCGCCAGTCGTAAAGTAACTCTGACTCTGACTCTGAAGTTGTCAGGCCTATGACCTTCAGCTGACTAACTGCAGTTTCAGAGCAGTTACATAAGTTAAGGCACAACCTGCTGCACAAGCCTGCATTGACAGGAAACCTCTGTATATATTGTATAAATGTTACATAATATAGTGCAGTGACAAATAATACACAGAGTCCATAGTAACCTGGACACTGTGACAGCACAAATATCGTGCTGAAGCTACAGTGCAATAAACGTAGTGCCTACACAGATGGACCGAACCCTCCCTCAGCGAAGAGGAGGCCCCATTTTGAAACACACACGTCTTGGAGGGAACAAAAATCTCTTTCATGAATCTCAAGGTGACTGAAGCCAGGAATTACTGTGCTGGTGAGGACCAGAAGCAATTTAACTGGCAGACCAACCAAACTTAATTAATTCAGTCACAAATTAGTTGCAGCCATGAGTTAGTTGTGAGATGGTAACCAGCTGGCAATGACATAAGCATGAATGGAGAAGTATCTCCATTGCAACACATGGTAAAGACAGAAGCTTTAACCTTTATCGGACGAACGTCGTCATATGATGTCGTTAAAAGTTAGGGCAGCTGGCCGAACGTCATCATATGATGTCGCGGATTCCACGCGTGTAAGGTTCTTTTAATTTTATATTAAAAATATAAATTGTTGTTCTATTTATATGATTTTTGGTCACCACCTTTATAAGGAGACAGCCTTCGTTCCTGCATGATCTAATGTAATCTAGGGACGTCATATGACGTTAAAAGTAAGGACAAATTTAAGAACGACATCATATGATGTCGCGCATTCCACGCGTGTAAAGATTTTTTTTAAATTAAATTTAAAATATAAATTGTTCTTCTATTTACATAATTTTTGGTCACAACCTTTATAAGGTGACAACCTTCCCTCCTGCGTGATCTAATGTAATCTACCGACGTCATATGGCCGAACGACCTCATATGATTTCGCGCATTGCACGCGTGTAAAGATTTTTTTAAAATTAAATTTTTGCTCTACTTACGTGATATATGTTCACCATCTTCATGAGGAAACAGCCTTCCCCCCTGCGTCATCTATGGTAATGTGGCCTTCGTATGGTACTGCCGAAAAAATTCCGAAATGCAGAGTCCGACGTCGCAGCTCACGCACTTCGTACGAACGCTAGACCGCTTCCCACGCGAAAAGCACACACGACACCTCAGTTGCGATTTAGAGGAAGCAGGCCAGTGATGTCGAGCTGCAGTGATATTTATCCCCGCAGCTACACCGGAATAATTATTCACACCTCTCCAGCCACACTGGTCTGGCGGTCCCCAAGTTGCCGACGAAGGTGATGACCCGTCGTCCGCGGAATCAGAATTCCAACTTTGCTCGCCCCTATCATAATCTGTGTCATTGAACAGCTGTTTCTCAATTTCAGGCATCAGAAGACCAACCTTCCACGCCACATTCAGAATCGGTTGAATAGCAGTCCGAATCTGTGTCATTGAACAGCTGTTTCTCATTTCAGCATTTTCCATACGACGTCGTCGTGTATACGGCTCTCTAGCAGTGCTAGCAGTGAATCTCTGTGCTTAGACCACGATAAGAAGCCATAAATCTTAACCTCGAGCCCACACATACAAAAATCTCATTCACGACTTCTCTGAACCCAATATCTGCTTCATGATGTCATGGGTGGCTAACCTTATACTGCGATGTTTCAAAATCGTTACAAACACAATGGTTTGACTGCAATGAATGAACGAATTACCGATCTGGCAACACCATATTCCGAGAAGTAACTTCTGTGTTTATCTAACACATTAGGCAGCGAGGAATTTCAGACGTAAACAGTCGTGCATAGCGACATGTCCCATACGATAAATAAGCTACAACAAGAGATACCATTGAATGTGAAGTCGCCACAAGGACTTACACTGCTAAAACGCATGGTGCAGAAAATGTATTACACTGCTAGAACGCATGGTGCAGAAAATGTATGAATTTCGGGAAATTTTATTTTGGGAATCAGTGTAAAAATTTTTTACAGATATTAAAATCTGTAAATTAGAATATCTGATTCTATATTCTTTCTACATTAAAGGAGCGTTCATTTCGTTCGTTTATCATAACAAATGTAGAAATCACACCATTTTTAGAAACATGCTTACAATTTCATTGCTCTAGAAGGGCGGGGATTTAAATAAAACTCCGTCCAGCTGCCCCTACCGGAAATTAAATGGCCCGTCCGATAAAGGTTAATATTTGGAGTAGTGATCTGTGTGTGTGTGTGTGTAGATCCATGAAACGAGTTGTAACAGTCCAAAAAATCCAAATCCCACATCTAGTTACTACAACGTGACAATACAGACATGTATACGTTTAGAAGATTTTAAATTTCTAAGGCCAGTAAAATGCAAGGTATTTATATTATGCTGACAAAAATATATCATGCTTTTTACAGAGGTATCAACTTATGTGGTAGCTGCAGTGACATAAACAGTGAAGAACTCTTTTTTTTTAATCTAATCACTTAGTTACCTGTAAATTACAATAAAAATATGCAATTAATATAAGCAGGGCACCAACCTTAACACTTTACTTGTTTCGGTGCCTCCCGGTTCCTCTTCCTTTATCATAACCGTGGTGATTAAGTGGTCATCAACGATCTGTTCTCCCTTAAGACTGATATTCATAAAACAAATCCTACCGTCCTGAGCAGTAAACTGGTTCTCTGTAACTGAAATACAGCTCCTGTTCCCTTCCATTTCAGACTGTTCTTCCTTAATCTGCGTACCATCCATATTTTCAGAAGATTCTTTCGCTGTAATATTTAGGTTTTCAACTGCTCCTCCATTTACTTCTTCAGTCTCCATGAACTGTGTTTCATGTTCCTCTTGTTTGATATCTTGTTCTTTCTTAATTGATAAGACATCAAAAATTTTACTTTCTGCCATAGCAAATGGGTCTTCAATGATGTTTTCTTCAACAGCAGGTTCTTCTTTGATTGATCTAACGTCAATAATCTTGAAACAGGTTCCATATTCCTTCCTATCAGATGTTTCCACATTTTCAAAACACACTCCCGGTTCTCTTGTGACAGGATATTCCTCTGTGACAGAACATGCCACCACATTCTCAGAAACCATTTCACAATTCTGCTCTGTAGGAACTTCTTCTTTAATCAATAAGCTATCCACATTCTCAGTGTATAAGCCAGGTTCCTGAGATGTAAACTGCCCTTCTGCAACACCTACATACTCAAAACGAATTTCATGTTCATCTTGATGTGGAATAACACCCACTGCTCCTTCCTCCTGCAAAGATAACACACATTCCAGTCTTAACGAGGGAAAATCATTTATGTCTGGAAGATGTATGCACTACGCATCATATATCCACATTAAAAATTGTCAGTACTCACAGAATGGTCATGATAGACTAAAACAAAAGACTCCTCATTTGTCTGTGACCTACCACATAATTTACACTCGTGCAACACATTAATACTCAACAATTCATTGCTATGATAACCAAAGACTGCATTATTTCAGAGCTTTCACCTCACAATTAGAATACATTTTCATATATATATAGTGTATGGCATCATGAAATATGTTGAAATTTCTACTGGCAATTCTTAAAAACAAACTTCATCAAAAATACCTAATCTCAACAACTTGAGAGGTTCTGGGAAGATAGCTATATTTATACCAAGATCCTACATTTGACAGAATATAAATGTGCCCAATCAGATCAAACACATTTTGATAGATAACAAACAGCATTCAAGTGAACTTGAATAGTAGCAAAAGTTAGGGGGAAACTGGCTGTAAGTAAGTGGCCAACACAAAAATCTGATATGGATAGATTCAATCTCAAGAAACTCAACAAGGTAGAAGATGAAGAATTGTACCAGGTTAAAATCTCAAACAGGTTTGCAACTTTTGAAAACTTAGATGATTATGTGGAAAACAACAGAGCCTGGGAAAACAGAGTATCAAAATCTCAGCCAAGAAGAATAATTGTGAATTGTAGCAGCATACGCCATGCTTTGATACAGAATGTTCAAAACTATTCGATCAGAGGAAACAAGCCAAACTGCAATGGTTATAGGATTTGAATCAAATAAATGCTGGAAATCTGAACAACGTAAGATCTGAAGCTAACGCACATTTTGGGAAGAAAAAGAAAGACATTAATGAGTTTGCAACACACAAGAACAAGGATATTAGAGACTTGTATAGAGGAATTAATTAAAGTAAGAAGGGTTACCAACCTATAACTATCTTGGTAACAGACAAGAATGGTGATCTGCTTGCAGATTCCCTCAACATTTTGAACAGGTGAAAGTATTACTTCTCTCAGCTGCTGAATGCACATAGGGTTAGTGATTTAAGGCAGAAACACATACGGTTGAGACATTAGTATCTAAGCCTAGTCCTTTCAGGTTTCAAATTGTTATTGCATAGCTGAAAACGAATAAAATGCTTGGTATTGATAAAATTCCAGCAGGAGATGAAACATTACGTTCTGACAAACACAAACACATTAATTTGATTTGGAGTGACGAAGAATTACCTGAGCAGTGGAAGGAGTCTTACTATTATACCAATATACAAGGGCCAAAAAAATGACTGTAGTAATTATCAGGAAATTACTCAATTTAAGAGGGATTACCAATTTAAAACTAACTTGGTATAGGATGAGAATGGTGACCTTCATGCAGATTCCCACGTTTTGAATATGTGGAAGAATGACTTCCCTCAGCTACTGAATATACACAGGGTCAGTGCTAATAGGCAGATTGAAATACATACAGCTGGCTCATTTGTAAATGAGCCTAATCCCTTTGTGGTTGAAATTGCTATTGCCAAGATGAAAAAAAACATAAATCACCAGGTAGTGATCAAATTCTGGTAGAAATGATTCAAACAGGAGGCAAAACACTGTGGTCTGTGATCTATAACTCATTAATTATATTTGGAACAAGGAAGAACTGCCTCACCAATGGAAGGAGTTATATTATTGTACAAATTTACAAGAAGGGCAATGAAATTGACTGTAGTAATTATTGAGAAATACTACTGTTATCACATTCGTACTAAATTTTATCCAATATCCTCCCCTCAATGTTAAGTCCATACATAGATGAAACTACTGGGGATCACCAGTGTGGGTTTCAACACAAGAGGTCAATTACTGATCAGATTTTTTGCACTCATCAGATATTGGAGGAAAATGGGAGTACATCAACTATTCACAGACTTGAAGAATGCCACTGAATAACTTTGTACAAAATTTTCTCTTGGATCCCTAAGTCCATAAGTAGCTGAAATATTGTGGCTCATCAGTGTGGGTTTCAACGTAACAGATCTACTACAGATCAGATTTTTTTTTTCCATTTCTCAGTTACTGGAGAAAAAATGGAAGGACCATGAGAAGGACCATGAGACAGTATACGAGCTAGTCATAGACTTGAAGAATGCCCATGATTAACTTAGGAGGGAAATACTATACAATATTCATATTGAGCCTGTGGTACCCATGAACCTAATTACGCTTATTACAATTTGTTTAAATAAAACATATAGTAATGTCCATACAGATAAATATTTATCTGAAATGTTTCCTATTCCAAATGATCTAAAACAAGGATATGCTCTATCACCACTGCTTTTCAACTTTACTATAGAATATGCCATTATGATGGTCCCAGAAAACCAGGTGGAACTGAAATTCAATGGGATGCATCCACTTCCTGTCTATACTGATGATGTAAAGCTACTGGGAGATATCATAAATATCATAAACAAAAACAAAAAATCTCTAATTAATACTAGTGAGGATGGCATAGAGGTAAACAGAGAGAAAGTATATGTTTCTGTGTTATCACCAGAATGCAGGACAAAAGAATAACAAAAATACAGCTAACAGGTCCTCTGGAAGTGTAGTAATGTTCAAATATTTTGGAACAAATGTAATAAACCGAATTTTGATTCAAAATTAAATTAACAAAATCTTTATTTAAGCATCATGTTGCATTTCTATATCTATTCAGTTATGGACAAAAATAAAGTTGAAAGTTAATACTGTGTAGTACAATAAACAGTATGAAATCAAGAGCAGATAAAACTTGGTAATGCTTGCTAACACTAAGTTCGGTACCTTCTGTCTCATCTCCGTTGTCTAAAAACGTAAAAATTAAAATATAAAGAACTACTTGGTCTCTTAACATTAGGGGAAGAACATTGACTAAACTCAGAATTACTGGGTCTTTGGACTTTTTCCATCATCCAGTATTCTAGAAAAAAGAAAACATGACGTTTCAGAAACAGATCCAGTGTCTTCATGTTTATAATATCACCTTTTCTCTAGCCATAGGGTTTCTACCAAACTGCAGTATGTCACGTTTCAGATGACTTTACTCTTGAATTAAGGATGCATTTTAAAAACTAAAACTCATGATAGCTCAATCAGTACAGTCAGGGACTGCAGCCTAGACAGCTTAAGAATCAGGGTTCAATTCCTGGCAGGGGAAATATATTTCTTTTCTCCAGAGTCCAGAACAGCTCAGGGGCCAACCCAGCCTCCTATCCACTTGGGGTTTCTTTCCGTAGGAGAATAGCAGCCAAGGCATGAAGGTGACCACTCACCTCCATCTGCTTCTGAAGTTACAAATGTGTGGATCTCTACCTCCACTCCCTCATATGACTTCATGAAGTGGTACTTGATTAACTAATCACAGGGACAACTTTACCTTTACCTCAAGAGTGAAATTACATTTTTCATGTAAACCAAAATATCAGCATCTTTCATACCTTGCCTATTATGAAAGCAATCATGCCACAACTTCTGGAGCAAAATCAACTATAACAACACAAAACCTATGTCTGATCTGCATATTATGGACATGAGAAAAAGAACAATACTATTTTAAACGTAATATTACCACAACTACTTGCAATTAAAATATTCTTGAAGTCAATTAAGAATGCAACAATACTTTGGGAAGAGATGGCCTTTCCTGTTTCCTCCTGCTTTTGTCTTTTGATCCAGCTAATGTCTTACAAGAAGAAACTGGGAGATTTTGGGATGGGACAGCATTCTTCTTCAAACAGTGTTTCCTTCCAGGAAAATCTGAAATATTAATAAAGTAGTTAGTTATACAGACAAAGGCTGGTCAGACAGACGGCTTATACAGACTGAAATATGTGTCAAACTATTTCATGTTTGAGATTGTCCAGTTTATTAGTGCTGCGCCAACACAGGTACCTATCTACTAAACTATGTGGCATCACATCCCAGAAGACTGGTTACTTGACCAGAGTACCTATTCTTTTAAAACAGTCGGCGTTGGATTAACATTTAAGCTAAATAAGCTATAGCTCAAAGGCTCAAAATTTCAGATGCCTCCAAATACAAAGAAAATAAAAACAGCCCACAAGTTAACACAACACTCTCATTGCATCATATCACATTGCAATGATGGAATCATCATACACAGGAACAGCTGCGACAATCGAAAATAAATTGAGCAGTGGAATTACTCCTTGGAGTGCAGATGTATGGTTACTGCCAAGCAACATATTTGTGTAGTTCCACATATATGGACATATATGTCATGCTTATCCTTTAAGAAAAAAGCCTCATTTTTATCACAGCTTAGGGTCTTGTAAAGTCTTAATTCAGCCCTGGCAATAACTGAAGCAATAATTGCCTTGTAGCAGTGTAGAAAGCATCTGGATTCAAGCTCAGTAAAACTGACTGGACTTTCAACAGCTTTCATTAACATTTTACTTTTCAGATACTGGGTGTGCCATAAACAATAGGAGTTTCTAGCACATCAAAGATATCCAGTGGACAGAGTTAAACGTTACAAGTAAAATCCTGACTCTGCTTAATTAAACAGCATACCATGAAGATTAATGGGAGGATTAGATGGATGTGAGTAGCCATCTTCATCTCTCAGCTACTTCAACCCCAGAGAAATAGCTTTCAGTACCCATTACGGGATAGCGCAGTAGGTATAGCAACTACCTATGGTCTGAACAAACAAGCGGTTGGAGTTTGAGTCCTGGTGGGAGCAAGAATTTTTGCTTCTCCATGTCGTCCAGACTGGTTCTGGGGCTCACCCAGCATCCTATCCAATGGGTACCGTGGGTTCTTTCCCCAGGGGTAAAGTGGCTGGGCCATGAAGCTGATCACTCACCTCCAACTAGTACTGAGGTCAAGAAAACATGGGTCTATACATCCACTCCCCCATATGTCTTCATGGAGTAGTGCTCAATTAGTTACGCACAGGGACAGCTTTACCTGTACCCATTAGAGAAGCGAAGACAAAAATGTCCCTGCCAGGAACTGAACCCCAATTCCAAGTTGTCCAGCCCATAACTTAGTCACTATGGTGATTAAACTCTCCTGGTCGTCAGTGAACAAAGTTAAGGAAAAGTAAAATAGTAACATCATCACTATACTTAATTAAGTACGATACCATGGAGATGTATAGAGCAATAAAGGTATAGCATCATACATTCTTAACCTCAGTTCTGGATGGATGCGAATGGCAAAGTTTCATGCCCTAGCTACTTTAACCCTAATAAAAACTAGGCAGCAGGACTGGATATGTCTCAGAGCCAGTCTAGACACTGTGAAGGAGAAAATACCTCTGCCTCCACCAGGAATCATACCTCAGTTCCCCAGTTATCTAACCTGTAGCCTAGTCACTATACTCACTGAGCTATTTCAGCTTCTTTAAAATGTTACACTCAATAACATGTCTGTCTGTGTGTTTCACCTCTAAATTAATTGAACAGATTTTTATTAGATTCAGTACTGAGAGTTTATGTGAAGCTCTAGCTGAACTTTACTCCCATTTTCTTTAAAGATTCATCATATAAAAGTAGATTTAAATGTCAACTATAGAACATTATATAATAAGTTACAGGATGTGACCTCATGTAGTTTCATAGACAGGTACCAATGTTTTGGAGGAACCTGCTGTATATATTTTCAAGGCATCCTTAAGACTGAAGATACTAATATTTCAGGGGAATGCAGGTATCTATCAACCAAACTACACAGCACAACATCCCAAAGAAATCTTTTTTTTTTAATTGCTAGTGGGGTGGTGGGGTGGGACTAAGTCCCTTTCACTGAGGCCACTTCGGGCCTATTGTACCAGCCCCAGACGATAGGTGAGGGTGATTCTGGAGCAATTGGTGGAATGAAGATTGGCAGGGGAAACTGAAGTAATCGGAGTAAACCTTCCCCAGCCCAACTTTGTCCACCACAAATCCCACTTGACCAGACCCGCGATCGAACACGGGCCGCCGCAGTGGGAAGCCATTCACTAACTGCTTAAGCTATGTGGCGGCCCTAAGACATCTTCTTAGTTACTGGTGTAAGACCCTTATCTCACATAGGTTGTCAATCCTATACCCCACTTCTGGGGGAAATGTTATAGAAAAAATGATATTCTTAGGCTTCACTAAATGGCACATCAATTTTGTGTGTATGTATGTGTGTGTGTACATGCATGCTGTGTGTATGTATGAATACATTTGCATGCATGTATTTGTGTGTATCAGAGAGATACTGCTTTTCTCAATATACAAGCCATATATTTTGTTCTAACTATTACATCTTTTCAAAATGTCCAATTAGTGCTTCTGAAGTTTCTTTAGAGTGAGGAAACTTCAATCTTTATTTAGGGTCACATGTAAAGATCATACAGAATGTGTGCAGTGATGTTTAAAATTCAGTCACTGTCTAATCATTGTGGGGCATGCAGTAGTGTGGTTGGTTGACTACTGTCTTATTGGACATGATATCATGTGGTCTGGCAAGAAGTTTCTGAGGAACATACCACCTGTGTATGTAAGCATTAACCAGAATAACTCTCTTTACTTGCGTGGATTACTCTTCGACCCTGAAGATGGAGGCAGTACATTAACCTGAAATGTTTGTTAAATTCTACCAGTCTACACGACGTCACATCCCACATCACCACCAGAATCCCAAACCTCACACAAATAAGAGTATGCACTAATATCTTTTCCGTGAACCCCTGAGAAATAAAAAATGACGAAACCGGGGCTCTTACCAATTGAACCCCCCCCCCACACACACACACACACTTAGTCTGCTTGGTCCAAGTACGATCCTAATGGCAATGCCATACGTGAAAACGCAAAATATTACGAAATTGACATCCAAACTTGGTCATATTAACTGATCTGCTATACTTCCTCCCGGACTTACGTGTGTCCACGTAGTTTTGCGCTCTGACAGAACGGACAGAAATATGTAATTATAGAATTCAACGGATTTTCTTACCTGGCAAAAAGAAATCAGCTCTTGAAAAATGCCTTGAACAAACAACCATATATGGAGAAACTGGTTTCTGAAGCCGTAAGTTTCGTGCCCACAACTCTCTCAATTCAAACTGTTCTTTCTTTCCGGATTCATTCAATATAGTTATATTCCTTCCCTTTTTGGGAAATCTGTGAAAGCTTAGACATCTATCTCGAGATGCTCTTGAAGAACACTGAGGGACACAACAATACTCCTTAGACACGGAAGGCCGTTTTTCTGGAAATTCCATTTTGCAGCACATAAAGGTATCGGCAACCCGTAATGTTTAGTTTATATAAATTCCACCAGAGTGCACATTCATTTTAGATCTCATTCGTGCTCATTACATTCGAATGAGATTCTTTGGCAAAGAGTCTTGTATGCCCCGTAAGCACTGATATAAAATATATGTTCGTAGAGTAACCTAAGGTCACATACTGTTAGATGCAACTTGTTATACTAAATCTTATTATAATACGCTTTAAAATTGTTCTTATAATAATTATGAAAACTATGGTAATGGTTGAATATATTTAATATGATACAACCATTTAAGGGGCACGCGGTAGGGAAATTGCTTGAGACACTGTGCTACAAGCTATAATGTCTCGGGTTCAATTCCCGTTGTCATTGGATTTTTCAGTTAATCTAAACCTTTCAGCCGCTCTATGGTCCTGGAGTCGACTCAACTTCTAACAGAGATCAGTACCAGGAAACTTCTTGGGGGTGAAGGTCGGCGGCGCGTAAACCTGACAACCTCACCGCCATCTGTGAGCCGATTGCTACAGACAAATGTGGTAGCCTCGACGTCTCACAATACTATAGGCCTCCACTGCCTCTTACAGGGACGGCTTTACCTCATACATATACAAACGTTTCAGAGAAAACTCTTGTTTACATATTTCCAGAGAGGGTGGTGGCTTCTCTTTTCGTAGATTTTTGGAGAAATAAAAATTTGAAAGAAAGAAAAAACGAACGAAGAGCACCAAACACTAACAACGAATATTAAAGAACATTTTTTTAAAATATTCTCCCATCCCGAATACTTGTACTTTTAAATGTGTTAAGCATAGGTTGTTCCTTGGGAAATATCGTGATGCCCATTGATGTTGGACACAATAGCCAAGCTGATAGGTTACACTTCACTGTGGATATACTGAAAATTAATAAAGTTACAGGTATCAGTTGTCCAGTGCCAACATTTTAAAGTCTAATAACAGTACTGTAAAAATTTTCAACGATTTGGGCTCTGAGTTAGAAGCAAATTCAGCAGCAGAAATAGAAGCTCACCCTACTGACAGACTTGCAAGATTTCAGATTATTCAGTAAAAAATTCTACCACTTGGGGCTCATGCTAGTATATGTAGGTCAATCAGTAGTGATCAGTAGCATCATAAAAATGTGCACAAGGCAAAGCAAGACAGTATGGACACTCCACTATGGAAAATTTTATTTGCTGCTGCAGCCATTTTGCTTAATGAGTTTTAATACAATTTTTGTGATGGCCATTATTCTGTCTTCTTCTGACCTGGCCCCACTCAGCTTTGTCATGATCTGCTGAAATAATTTTGTAACTACTTTGAATATGTTATTCAGATATGAACTCCTTGCATTAGGAGCCTCAACTGACTTGGTATCTGTTGGTTGTGTCTCCAGGGAGTGGAGGGGGCACTCATTTCACCCACTGTGGTTGGGCAGGCCTTTGCAAATGAGAGAGCTGAGGCTGCTGCTGTGTGTTGTGTAGCACCACCATGAAGGATAGTCCTGGGGTGGTGTGGCTGGAAGAGAACCACCTTCCCATTATAGTCTTTGGCGCGCTCTGCAATTTTCTCTTTCGCATCTCTTCCTTGGTGTGCCTGTAGCCTCGATAGTTGGAAGGATGAGGTTCTTCTCCATTGACCAACTTGAAGTTGCAGCATGTTGGTGTTAATGCTGTATTGCTCATTTCCAGGCATTCCTTGTGCAGGTGACAGCCCCCACACCACATAAAATGGGGAGGTTGCTTCAGTTAGCCCACATATTATCTAACTGTTGGCAGTGGTGTCACTGATGGAACTCAGACTGGGCATTATATGCCTCTACCCTGATTGCAATATTGCCAAGGCTCATTAGTTTGAATAACTGATAGGACTTTGATTTCCTAGGTAAGGTTATTAGGAAGGGGGGAATGTTTACTGTGGTTGTCCCTCCTGCATGCGATCAACAGGTGGTAGACATTTGTTTGACACTAATAACATCAAAGCTAAGGTTCACCAACCCATCTGAGATCTGAGTTGAGAATAGAAGATGCATATCATAGCCTTTATGGCTTTTGGGATTTGGGACAGAAGGTGAGTATCGGAGGTCACTGCTTGCAAAATTAGTGAATGTCCTCGATGTCATCTCTTTTATAGCTTTAACAAGCTATCATGTAGCAATGCAAATGTCCACCACACTTCGCTCTCTAAAATTCTTACTTTTAGGCATAATGTGAATTAATAATAATTTGGTGAATTAAACGAAAAATTGATGAGCTTATGATCTCTTTGCATAATCAGGCTCCAAGCTTAATCTACTTGACCGAGCATCATTTTATGGATCATGAAGTTGATGATATACATATGAAGAAACATAATCTGGGTGCAAAATTTTGTAGAAGAAAGTTAAAAAATTGTGGGGTATGCATATATATTCACGAAGATTTAAAATTTTCTACTATAAATTCATATAAATACTGTAAGGAACAAGCTCTGGAAATTGCTGCCATTCAAATAAAAAAATGAGGTTAAGATAATTATATTCAATATATATATAGCTCCAGTGGGTAATTTCAATTACTTTATTAATAAACTTGATTATATACTTAATTTCTTTCATTAATATAATTGGAATTTATAATATGTGGGGATATAAATATAAATTATCTGGACTAAAGTGGTAAAAAAACTAATTACATGACATGTTAAATACTTATAATCTAAGGGATACAGTGTATCTTCCCACAGAAATAATTCACCTACCTTGACTGACAATATATTCATTGACAACAGAAGTTATACCATACAACCATGTATAAATGGATTTTCGGACCATGATGCTCAGCTTATTATACTCAATAACTTACTTATGCCTAATCGGACACCTGAGACTATCTACACTAGAAACACTAATAATATTATGTTAAATAATTTTCATAATACATATTTAAGATGTTTTTATGCTTGCTTCATTAAAAAATGGATTAGTCTTAATTCAATTCAGTTTAATTCTTTATTATTTATGTGCCGAGTCAACAGCCGCAAGGCCAATAATAATAATCATAGTAATTGGATTACTAAAGGGATAAGAATCTTATGTAAGAGAAAGAGAGAACTTTCATTATAATGTACACACAGTAATGACTAAAGTCTAAAAACATATTTTAAACAATACTGTCAAACGTAAATAGTGAAGCAAAAAACAATATACTATAATGGAATCATTAGTAATTCTAACAATAGAATGGGAAGCACCTGGATAATAAATGAAGAAACAGGTAAAATAAAATGAGATAGAGGCATGCATTCGCTTGTAAAAGATAATAAACTTATAACTAATCAGAATTAAATTGCTGATGTTTTTAACCTTTATCGGACGGGCCATTTAATTTCCGGTAGGGGCAGCTGGACGGATTTTATTTAAATGCCCGCCCTTCTAGAGCAATGAAATTGTAAGCATGTTTCTAAAAATGGTGTGATTTCTACATTTGTTATGATAAACGAACGAAATGAACGCTCCTTTAATGTAGAAAGAATATAGAATCAGATATTCTAATTTACAGATTTTAATATCTGTAAAAAATTTTTACACTGATTCCCAAAATAAAATTTCCCGAAATTCATACATTTTCTGCACCATGCATTCTAGCAGTGCAATACATTTTCTGCACCATGCGTTTTAGCAGTGTAAGTCCTTGTGGCGACTTCACATTCAATGGTATCTCTTGTTGTAGCTTATTTATCGTATGGGACATGTCGCTATGCTCGACTGTTTGCGTCTGATATTCCTCGCTGCCTAATGTGTTAGATAAACACAGAAGTTACTTCTCGGAATATGGTGTTGCCAGATCGGTAATTCGTTCAATCATTGCAGTCAAACCATTGTGTTTGTAACGATTTTGAAACATCGCAATATAAGGTTAGCCACCCATGACATCATGAAGCAGATATTGGGTTCGGAGAAGTCGTGAATGAGATTTTTGTATGTGTGGGCTCGAGGTTAAGATTTATGGCTTCTTATCGTGGTCTAAGCACAGAGATTCACTGC